AGATAGGACGACTCCTCTCGTAATTTTGATGAAATTTCTTAGATGCTGTGGATGTAAATTAGGTTTCATATATACATATTATAGAACAATATTTATTTTTAAAAAAGTTGGAAATGGTGTGTAGAAATGGTGTGTAGAAGTGTATAGAAATGGTGTGTTGAAATGGTGTGTAGAAATGGTGTGTTGAAATGGTTTGTAGAAGTGTGTAGAAATGGTGTGTAGAAGTGGTGTGTAGAAATGGTGTGTTGAAATGGTGTGTAGAAGTGTGTAGAAATGGTGTGTTGAAATGGTGTATAGAAATGGTGTGTAGAAGTGTGTAGAAATGGTGTGTTGAAATGGTGTGTAGAAGTGTGTAGAAATGGTGTGTAGAAGTGGTGTGTAGAAGTGTTGTGTAGAAGTGGTGTATAGAAGTGGTGTGTAGAAATGGTGTGTAGAAGTGTGTAGAAATGGTGTATAGAAGTGTGAAGAAATGCATTTGTAGGCATGTTAACATCACCCAGGGTACTGTTCGTTTATTGTCACCCAGGGTACTGTTCATTTATGCGTCTTTGGGTATAAATGGTGACGGACCTGCAAATATTTAGGCAGGCCTTGCAAGGCTTTGTCAAGGCTCGCCTGAAAGCTGCATCAGATTACTAGGTCCGACCTTATTTGATAAACGATGATCTGTAGTCCGACCGGTTGAACCGTTTAAACGAAAACGGCCCTGGTAAAACAAGCCACTTATATAATTACTTCCAACTCAGTGAGAGAAAATTTCTCTTGAACTCATTCAGTAGAGCATAATACTAGTAAACCAGTGGTCCCCAGTTAGACCCTTCGTGGAGGCATTCACAAAATAATTATCTCTGTTAACATTGCATATATACAATATTTAAACATCCATGAGATTGTAGAAAAAGAAATAAAACAAAACTTCGAAGACTAAACCTCCCTAGTAGCTTTGCCCATTTTGTGGCTCTTCAGGCGATTTCACTTTATTTGAATCGGGACATAATAAATAAAGTACACATAGTGAGTCATACTTAAAATGTCAAAAATTCTTGCATATTAAATTACAAATAATGCAGACATCTATGAATAGTGATGTCTTAAAATAATTACAATGAATGTACTTGCATTAAATGTGTCAATAAAATATACGAGTAAACCTATAATAGATATTATGTAATAAATGCTTGAAATTCCCCGTGTTAAGTGTCCTGAATAAAAATTTCAATAAACATATTATCTTTTAATTCTCTTTCAATAATATCTGATGTGATTTTAATAATTTGGCAAAACTAAAAACTGATCATTTGACCAATCATGGAAATGCCTGTTACCGGTAACTAATACATTCTGTAAACAGTTTGGGCTCGTTCAGGAAATGGACTGCCATTCATTGACGCAGTTCATTTCCTATTTGACCTATGTAAATTCAGAGCATCTCTCACAAAGTACAGCATATATTAAGTCTTTGATTAGCAATTCATATTACATCTTCTTTCAAATGTATCCAATGGTTGTAAAAAAAATAACGTTCATGCAATATCTGTTAATGCAATGGGTCGGCTAGGGATCAAACCAGGGGTCTCTGATTTACTATAAAGATACAATCACTTCACAATCACTTCAAATTGAAAAGATAATTCCAGTTTCCTGTCGTAGTAATTTAATGTTACTATAAGCTCACCTGATACTAAGTGCCAGTTGAGCTTATGGTATGGTGTGTTGTTCATCATCCGTCAATTTTTTCTTTGAACAACTTCTTCTTAAGAACTGGAGAACCTAGAACCATGGTATTTGGCCAGTGGGTACCAGGAATGTAGTGCTTTCAAGGTTACAGGGGTCAAATAACACAAAATCATTTTAACATCTTCTTCTGAATAACCAAGATGCCAAGAGCAATTATATTGGGCCAGGAGGTACCTCGGACAGAGTGCTTTAATGTTTCCCCAAATAAATGACCTTAACCTGGGTCAAAGGGGTCAATACTGTAAAACATTTGACACATAGTATGCTGGGATAGAGCCGTATGAGGTTTCGTTTAGTTTGGAATATTCTTAAGTCTAGGAGACTATATAAAATATTTACAAAGTTACTATTTTTGAGAACATTTTCCCATGATTGCTCAAATATATAGGTGAGCGATAATGGCCCTCTAGGCCTCCTGTAGACAGTGAGATATAGTTAACTTGTTTTCTATATTGTGTCCCTTTTACTCAATTTTCACAGGTGTGGATATACATTTATAAAAGATGCCAGATTTTAAGAAAAGGCACTGAACTGACAGACTTCCTGGGTTATCCTGTGTCACGTCTCCCAACGCCAACGTCATGGGTATTACTGAGATCACTCTGAGCTGTGTCATCATCAGGTGTTTGATGTGGTCCTCCACAGCTTGTTTTATCTGCTGTAAATGTGGATGTAAGTATAATGTTAATGCTAAAAATAGAACAATTTTTTGTTAGTCCTTAACCTATAGCGACATACCAAGGGAAGTAACCCCTACATGAAAATTAATAAATCAGAGATAGACCGAAACTGATGTCCGCAATTGTTTTTTTACGACATTTTACAATGAGATTTATCATTTTTCATGTCATAAACCCATGGACGGCATGGACCATTTTGGAATCACAAAGAAGGATTTCAAATACAAAATAACATATACAATTTCAGATTCAATTCATGTGATATTTAGTTCCTAGTAAATATCATTTGCACAATCAACATCATCAATAGCATCACATACAGTAGTTCTGAATTTGATGAGAGTACAGACTGGCTGGGAAATTACATAGGTTTATTTTTAGTAGCGGTCTGTAACACTTTTCTGTTCATAAAACGTCAGGTCTGTAACAAATTTACAGACTCGTCACATGACGTTGCTCCTCCAATCAGGGCTGGGAATTAGCACCAGTCATATAATAATGTTTTTATGAAGCTTGATAGATAGATCATAAGGTATCCTGATTGGATGACATATCATGCATTGCTCTGCACCATACCACACAGGTCAGGTAACAGAAATGATGCATGTAAAAGGTCAAGTTATATATGGTAGTTTGAAATGCTAATAATTAGAATAATAATATTATTTGAGGTTCTTATATCTTTATTCTTTATCACAACCTAGTTCGTAGGTCGTCTCAAAGTGGTTCACAATTATTATCCATGGTTATAAGGCCTTTGCAACCAGCCAATATCTTTCTCAGTTCCCTGGGGTCAGCATACAGCCGGTGCTGCCATTTCGATGCTCACAGCTAGCATTCAACAATTCTAGCACTGCCCAACCACATACTCATTTACAGCTGAGTAAACTGGAACAAGCGAGGTAAAGTATCTTGTACCATTGTAATAATAAAACCATTTTTGTTTTCAGCTTTCTCTCCGAATGACCCATATTATTTCATAAATGACACAAGCACCATGATTTGTGCACTGGACAAACCGCACCATTCGGTGAACGCATCAGATTTATTCATCGTGTTCAATAATGTGGAGGTAGATCCATCTTACCTCACCATACTCAACGAAAGTGCGGTGTTGTTTAACAAGCCAATGAAGTTGGAGGACGACGGGAAGTACTACTGTCACAAGCGAGGCGTTGAGGGGGTTGACGGGTTGATTGGAGGCCAGAGTGTAATTGTCGACTGTATGTATTCTGGTGTGAAGTAGAATCTTTGAATGATGTTATCATTAATTAATGTAAAAGAATGTTGGTGCTACAACGGGTTTTCTAGATAAATATCAAAGAGAACTTTGAAATAAATTCAGGAAAAAATGAAAACTTGATATTGAAGCACATCAGATGACAAAGAAATGGTATTTCACATCAAACATTCCTGACAAAAAAAACACTGTTTTTTTTTAATTAACTGGTTAATGACATACAATATATTTTTTGTTGTCAACTATAGAATTGGTAAATGACATACAATATAATTTGTGTTGTAGACTATAGAACTGGCAAATGACATACAATATAATTTGTGTTGTAGTCTATAGAACTGGTAAATGGCATACAATATGTTTTGTGTTGTAGCCTATAGAACTGGTAAATAACATACAATATATTTTGTATTGTAGACTATAGAACTGGTAACTGACATTACAATATAATTTGTGTTGTAGTCTATAGAACTGGTAAATGGCATACAATATGTTTTGTGTTGTAGCCTATAGAACTGGTAAATTACATACAATATGTTTTGTGTTGTAGCCTATAGAACTGGTAAATGATATACAATATATTTTGTGTTGAAGACTATAGAACAGGTAAATGACATACAATTTATTTTGTGTTGTAGACTAAAGAACTGGTAAATGACATACATTATATTTTGTGTTGTAGTCTATAGAACTGGTAAATGGCATACAATATGTTTTGTGTTGTAGCCTATAGAACTGGTAAATTACATACAATATAATTTGTGTTGTAGTCTATAGAACTGGTAAATAACATACAATATATTTTGGGTTGTAGACTATAGAACCAATCAATGACATACAAGTTATTTTGTGTAGTAGACTACATAACTGGTAAATGACATACACTATATTTTGTGTTGTAGATTATAGAACTGGTAAATGGCATACAATATGTTTTGTGTTGTAGCCTATAGAACTGGTAAATAACATACAATACGTTTTGTGTTGTAGACTAAAGAACTGGTAAATGACATTACAATATAATTTGTTTTGTAGCTAGACTATAGAACTGGAACATGACATACAATATATTTTTTGTTGTAGACTATAGAACCAATCAATGTCATACAATATATTTTGTGTTGTATACTATAGAACTGGTAAAGGACATACAATAGGTTTTGTGTTGTAGACCAATTAGAACCAGTCAATGATATAGAATGTATATAGAACTGGTTAATGACAGACAATATCTTTTGTGTTGTAGACTAAAGAACTGGTAAATGACAGCCAATATATTTTGTGTTGAAGACTATAGAACTGGTAATTGACATACAATATATTTTGTGTAGTAGACCAATTAACAACCATAAATGACATACAATATAGTTTGTGTTGTAGACTATAGCACTGGTAAATGACATACAAGATATTTTGTGTTGTAGATTATAGAACTGGTAAATGATATACAATATATTTTGTGTTGTAGATTATAGAACTGGTAAATGGCATACAATATGTTTTGTGTTGTAGACTAAAGAACTGGTAAATGACAGCCAATATATTTTGTGTTGTATACTATAGAACTGGTAAAGGACAGACAATATATTTTGTGGTGTAGACTATAGAACTGGATAATGACATACAATATAATTTGTGTTGTAGACTATAGAGCTGGTAAATGACATACATTATATTTTGTGTTGTAGATTATAGAACTGGTAAATGATATACAATATATTTTGTGTATTAGACTACAGAACTGGTTAATGACAGACAATATCTTTTGTGTTGTAGACTACAATATATTTTTTGTTGTAGACTATAGAATTGGTTAATGCCATACAATATATTTTGTGTAGGAGACTATAGAACTGGTAATTGACATACAATATATTTTGTGTAGGAGACTATAGAACTGGTAAATAACATACAATATGTTTTGTGTTGTAGCCTATAGAACTGGTAAATAACATACAATATATTTTGTTTAGTAGACTATAGAACTGTAAAATGACATACAATATGTTTTGTGTAGTAGACTTTAGAACTGGTAAATGACAGCCAATATATTTTGTGTTGTATACTATAGAACTGGTAAAGGACATACAATATATTTTGGGTTGTAGACTATAGAACCAATCAATGACATACAATTTATTTTGTGTTGTAGACTAAAGAACTGGTAAATGACACACACTATATTTTGTGTTGTAGTCTATAGAACTGGTAAATTACATACAATATAATTTGTGTTGTAGCTAGACTATAGAACTGGTTAATGAAGAATTGGTAAATGACATACAATATGTTTTGTGTTGTAGGCGATAGAACTGGTAAATGATATACAATATATTTTGTGTAGTAGACCAATTAACAACCATAAATGACATACAATATGTTTTGTGTTGTAGACCAATTAGAACCAATCAATGATATAGAATGTATCTGGCACAACTGGATTGACAGGCTGGTCTGCAGGTGGACACTTCCGCCATATCGCTACAAGTATTACATCAATGTTGAACTGACCATGTAGGTATAACAGTAAGATCAATTTCTCTGTTTATTAACCATTGCACAGTCAAATCAAAAACTATTCAACTTACTGTTGATAGGAATCACCCTCTCTGTCCATCAGTCCATGATCCGTGTAAGCCCAGCTCTTCCTATCAGCTAGCATCTATTGTTTTAGCTGACACCAGCCCAAAAGGCAAATTAGCTTATGCCATGGCACTTAGAAATATACTGGTCATATCTTGGAAATTGTTGATATTCCCACCCTAAAACTGCATACTCATTTGCTAGGCATGAAACATCCATGCCACTTTGATTGCTCTGGGGTCTATTCTCACCCCTGGGGACTTGGTCCCTTGGTCATAGCATGGAAACAGTTGAGGTTGTAAAAATTCAGTGTGGAGTGTACCTTGGCCAAGGCAACTCATTTGTATTAACAAGGTGCATGGTAGGTCCAAATGTGGCAGAGCCCAAGAGGGGAGACAGAGGTTAAATTTTAAAAAACGACTATTTCTTGGCATCAAGTTTAATGGATTTAATAAACAATAGGACTTGATAACAGGCATGGTCTTTATATCTACATTACTTTTCTAAATTATTGATATACTATATAATCTAATGTGGTATAAAGAACCCCCTTGCAGAGAAGTTCCATTGGGGGGGGGGGGTGAAGAAACCATTATAGTAAATAAGGGTAAATCTTTATTGTATCACAACTTTTGAATAACTACTGAATAACCAAGATGCCTAGGGTCCTGTTAATTGGCCAGTAGCACTCTGAGATGAAGGGCTACTAAATGAGTTCAAATGAATTACCTTGATCCACTTTCAAGGTTACAGGAGTTAAATTTGTTAAAATATGTAAATAAATAACTTCTGCAGAATAATAGAGAGGCCTATGGTCAAGATGTTTGGCCAGTTAAATGCTGGTAGATGGGCTGTCATGTTTTTCAAATGAATGACCTTGGCCAGAGTTGTAGGTCACCTGGTTTTTAATCTGTAAAAACCTTTAAGGAACCTATTTGAAAAATCAAGGTAGCAAGATTAAAGAATTTTGACCTATAGTCCTGGAATGACATGCTATCAGATTTATTCAAATGAGTGGCATTTACCCACTTTAAAGGCATTAGGGGTCAAATACATTGAAACCATTAAGTTGCTGGTATGATGGCCTTTAAAATTTGGACCTAAATGAGTGAATGAGACTTCTAGATATACTGCATACCAAGAAATTTTCGTCAAGTCAAGTGTTCACCCTTTGCCAGAATAATCCATGTTAGTTCACATTTAATAAATTTTCATATTATCTTGTTTATTCATGTTGGTCCTTCATTACCACAAGCGGAAAAGGCTTATTTTCAAAAACAAATGGGATATGCAGTAACTTTGAAAGATGCATGCATAAAATGAATACAAATCTTCCAACAAAGATCAATAATCTGAAGTCGATTTCACCTTCACTCCACTTTGAAGGTCACAGAAATGAGATCAATGACATGTAAGTGATACAGGCCCATTGGACCTTTTGCATCTGACTATTTTCTAAACTTCTGATTTCCGAAAATAAGCTACTGCTTGAAATGTTTACAATTTTTGTTTGTTTGTTTGTGTTTTACGTCCTATTTTAAAACAGCTATGGTCAGTTAAGGACGTGCCAGGTTTTGCAAACTGTGACTTACATGAAGCATAATGGAGTTACAATAATGCTTAATTAATGGTATCTTTTAAGGTATAATGGTGCCCTCATTTCCTGCCACAACATGGTGAACAAAACTGAATGTACATGGACTCCTGAAGATGGTTCCCTTGATATGTACCAAGGAGATTTCCAACTGAAGGTGACAAACACAAACCCACACAAAAACATGACAAAGGTGGGACCATGGATAATGAAAATACGTGACGAGAACGGTAATTCATTTTCATGTACAATGTACTGTACTTGTTCTATTAGAAGTCCTTTGGTGCATTGAGAAGAAATTTATTCTTAAAAAAGTTTTTTTTGTCTGAATGAGATTGTCATTTTTGTGTCGCCTACAAAGCGAGGCGACATATAGGTCGGCGGCGTCGATGTTGGTTGTGTCGTCCGAAACAAGGTTTCCGTGCAATAACTTCAGTTCACTTGGGTTGATTGAACTCAAACATGGTACACATAATGCATACTAATAAAGCTCGCATTTCAGAAGTTTACATGCTTTTTTGGTGAAGTTATGCCCCTTTTATTGTCAAATAAGGGCATTGTGTAGTAAATGCAAGAACTTTTTTATTTTTTAATCAATTCCTTTCAAATTTTGTATGGTAATGCTAAAAGCAATTATGTTCAACATATACGACAGTTTTTTTGCAGTCGAGTTTCAACTGTCTGCGTTTTGCCATTTCACACTTGACGTTTTTGCCGTTAATTTTTTGCTTGTTTACGCGATAACTCAAGCCAAAAAACTTTTCTCACTGAGCAGGCGACACATCCACTCCTGTGGAATTCTTGTTCATAATGAGATTGGCAAGAGGTCAATATCTGGGGAATTTATCTTGACAATAAAATGGGATGAGCTGAATCACTGTTTAACAACATTTTTCAACCTCCAATAATTTGGTCAATATACAAGGAAAGCTCGTAATTTTGCATGTAGTCTAACCTTACTGGTATATTTTTATATATTTTTTTCTGTTGATTTTTTATTTTTTTTAAATAGTTTTTATTATCATTCTGCATTTTATACATAATTTACATTTGCCATAATTAAGTGCATACATTGTATTACAATATAAAATTCAGTTGTTTTACTAGTATAATCTTTACCTGGACAGTTTTACTAGTATAATCTTTACCTGGAAAGTTTTGACTCAGTTAATGGTTACACAAAAATTAAAACAATTGCACCATCACTGATTAATTTAGCTAATCACTTTTGAACAACAGGGCCCTGGATGTAGAGATTATGGTCTGGACGAAAAGATTAAAATCTTGATGTAGAAATTGAGGTTTGGATAACATGGAAACATTGATCTGAATGTGACACAATTCTTCATAAATGACTAAAACTTTAATACAGTTGTTTAATTGTAATATAATACCTGACTAATGACTAATAAACAGTCGGCTTTGCTAAATGATGTTATCCGTCTTCATCGGTATTCTTTGTGTTACTGTTACAGTAAAACCGCATGAGGTGAACTCTTTTACTCAAAATTACACCAATGAAAGTACCTGCTTACTTCTGACGTGGAAATACGACCCAAATATTACTGACTCAAGAGAGAAACACTACAGAGTTCAGTACGCTGCTGTTGGGGACCCGTCACAGAAAAATACGGTATGGTATTTCTTTTCATGTCTGTTGAGTCTTGAGAAATATAGGTCTGAAAAACTAAACAAAGTCAACTGAGCAGAATTTTTTGCATGTTTTTTTTAAAAAAAAAAATTGCAAAGGATATTTGAATGAAGAAAATCTGATGTGTTGTTTGAAAAATGTTTACATAGGAATCGGAGTTCAGTTTTGAATTAAGAGTATTCAAACGTAATATTAACTCATTCACCCCTTAAATTTCATAATGAACTATTCCAACCTTTGAATTGGAAGAGCTCAAATGTGTCTTCAGGGGTGAATGATTTAATAATCAATCATTAGAATAGCTTGCACAGGTTATTTTACCCTAACGAAATCGCTCGTGTGTGGTGTAAATGGAGCAATCTCAATCGTCACAGCAAGACTTATTGAAGTTTAGCACTCTGCAAAGCCTCCAGCTGAATCAGAATTTTTGGTTTGCAACATTCTCAACGGCTGGCTGCCATAACTTAATAAGAGCACAACTGTATTGTTTAAAACTGTTTATTTTTAAAACTGTTTATTTTTAATTGCCTAGTCATAACACAGTCTAAAGTTTTGATATGATAACCTATACGTCTGATGAGAGTTGGACAAGGTCCTGAGGTGTAACCAGCACAAAGATTCAGCATACCACCAGCAAATGTACAATTATTAATATATTCAAAGCACACTGTAGATACATCGTAGCGATCATCGTGATAACAACTGTTTTAGTTTTAATGAAACCTTTTACCAACTACATGGCACAAAAATTAGAAAACACAATAAGAATCAACACAGAGGAACATCACACTAGTAAAAAGATACTACACAGACATTTTGTTTCTTGTCTGGTCCCACACCAGAGGAACAGTGCTTCAGACTTCAAGTAACTTTATTCAACAATTCAATTTTACTTCAAAATTTAATAAACCCAACCCCACAATTAAATTTCATACTACAGCTGAAATGAGACCTCTATAGATATCTGAGACAGGAACAGCTTCATAACTTTAGTCTAAAACATTTGTTTTAGTGAACTTAAACCATAGTGAACATGTAACGCAGTAAATGTAAAGAACTGTCATGTTATTCTTTGTTTGTGTTTACCCAGTTGTGGAGTGTTAATGACAATGTAACCGTCTGTGGCCTAACACCCTACACCTTGTACAAATTCACCATTGCCGTCCACCCGGACAGAAATGCAACGAAGGGCTACTGGAGTGACCCTGTCACAAAAGAATTCCAAACAGACCAAGATGGTAGGTCATCGTTTACATTGTATAGTCAGTCTTGTTAGTAAAAAAAACCAAAATGATTGAAATTTTTCATCATATTATTGTTCCGTTGTGATAAAATGTGTGCTTTTGTGAATAAAGGAATAATCGTTATTTTTGATAAGTCTCTTAAATATCATGGTATGGTGATAAAATTACAAATATTCATTTATTATCAAGAATTATGTTGAACATCACTGTACTGTGAATTAAAGCTAGTGCGACTCTGATAGCACTGGTTGTAATCATTATTCCTTGGGTGAGATGAAAATGACGTACCAGACAATGAACAAGAAACAACCTACTTACCACTACTTCGACCAATCATAAATGAAGCCTACCAGGTAGTTGATGTATGAATATTATGTTTATGATTTGAAAGTATAATAAATCATATTTCAATAAATGAATTAACACATTAGTACCAGGAGCAGCCCCAGAGATGGTTGGATTCAGACAGCACTCAGAATCGTGTACCCAGAAAGAAAAGACAACTGCTGGAATTACTTCAACGATTTATTTTAAGGTACATATTTTAATCCAACAAATCTGAATGATTTGATCTCATAAAAAGATCGATTAATAGAATCTCTCAATAAGATTGATAAAATAAAAATGGTTGATTAAATAAGAGTCCCAAAGGGTTTGTATCTCTCTCTGTCTCTCCTTTTTTTTGTAATCAGAACCTTGTAAGCCCCCAGGAGAGCTTCCTACATACTTGATTTATTATAATTGATTTAGTTAACTGGTCCTAGGAACCAAGGATGCTTCATATCAAAAATGTTTAACTTTATGTATATGGTTTTAAGCAAGTGATCTCAACCATTTCCATATTATGACCATATGACTTAGTCCCAAGTAGTGGGCTAGGACCCTTGTGCCATTCCTGGTTGCATGAGGGTATGCATCTCTTCATGCTTCAATCGTATAATTATAAAGTTAAGGAAGCAAGTCCCGAGTGGCAGAGCCAGACCTTGGGCCAGTCTTAGTAGCATAAGTAAGGATCCATCACTACATACTTGTCATTTGTATATATGGTCATAGGGTGATGATCTCAATCATTTCAATGCAATGATTTAAGGGCTAAGAACCCAGGGGCCAATCTCGGTAGTATCTTCATTCCATGCAATTTTATGTGGAGATCTCAACTGTTTCCATGATATAATTTTGGGACTAAGGCCTTGGCCGGTTTGGACACTAGTGCCAATCCTGGTAGCTTGGATGTATTCATCAGTTCATGCTCACTATGTGTGTATATGGTTAAGGGGTGGTAATATTAAAATGTGCATCATTAAGAGCACATGGGCAGGATCCAATAGAGGATATAGTGACTGAGGTAATTTTAACATCCTCACGTGTGTTTTTACCAAATTTGGACCATCTCATGGTCCTGACTATGTTATTTACTCAGCCGATAAAAAAAGTCCAAAACACTCACCCTGACCTCTGATTAGGCAACTGATAATAGGCTGACTACCCTGACCAACTTTTCTNATAAATATTGTAGGACTCAGGTGACCGTTTAGGCCCATGGGCCTCTTGTTTTTAGTTGGGGGTTCTAATCAATAGGTCTCTGGTAGCGCAGACAATTTTTACTGAGTTATATGTTCCATCATTTTAAACCAAATTGTTACATTGTTGGACTGTAATTGTATAGGTCAATCAGAAATACAAGATGACCACCGTGATCTCATCAAATTCCTTTTTACTTCAATAAAATAGATACATTGAACAATACAGGCCCTTTGGGTGTCTTATTGACTCTTTTATCATTTGATGATTTTTAAATGATCTGTTGCAATCTCAAGTGTAATGCTGATACCAAGTTGATGTTGTTTGTTTTAGTCAATACCAGAGGTGGAGAGAAATGGTTTAATCACAAGTTACAGAGTCAACTATACTGATCTATCTGATGGAGCAATTGTTACAAAAGTCATCGTCAATAAGAATACCACTTCTGTTAGCCATCCACTCCCCTGTAACAAACTATACAACATATCTATCTCCGCTGCCACTGTCAAAGGATACTCACCTCACCACTCCAGCCTCATCATTAACACTTCAGGTAAGTCACTCACACAGATACTCACCTCACCACTCCAGCCTCATAATCAACACTACAGGTAAGTCCCTCACACAGATACTCCCCTCACCACTCCAGCCTCATCATTAACACTTGAGGAAAGTCCCTCACACAGATACTCACCTCACCACTCCAGCCTCATCATTGACACCACAGGTAGTAACAAACTATACAACATATCTATCTCCGCTGCCATTGTCAAAGGATACTCACCTCACCACTCCAGCCTCATCATTAACACCTCAGGCAAGTCACTCACACAGATACTCACCTCACCACTCCAGCCTCATCATCGACATCACAGGTAAGTCACTCACACAGATACTCACATCACCACTCCAGCCTCATCATTGACACTACAGGTAAGTCACTCACACAGATACTCACATCACCACACCATTTCAGCCTCATCATCAAAACTGCTGGTAAAAGAAAAAGCAATCTGATTAAAATCATTCGTTACATGGTTCAGGCGTAGTACGAAGTTAACAGAGCCGACACAGATGATTTAAATAAGATTGAAGAAAAAGGTCAAATTATAGCAATCCTCATTTTGACAATGATGTTTTCAATAACTGACCATATATAGTAATTATCTATTTAAACCTTTATTTATTTCAGGTATGACACCAGCTGATGTTATGGTGGAGCGTAAGGACTTGCTGTATAATGTATCGTGGACTGTCCCTGGTCCTGTCGACCTACTCACCAGTTACAGAGTAGTCTACTGCACGATGTTCGGTTCACAGCAGGAATGTGCGGTAAGTTAAATCTGAGAAATGTAATGAAGACATTTACGGTAACAATCTCTGATAGCGGGTTATATTACCTTGTTTTTTGACATAACATTGGTACGTCAACTTTTTCTTTAAAATGCTTCTAGTCCTGAATGGCTTAGTGAATTTTGACTAAATTTGGCCTGTAGGATTCTTCTTCAGTACATTTGGAGGGATTTTTAACCAAATTTGGTATGGAGCATCCTTAGGCAGAGGGGACCGAATTTTGTATTAACAGAGGGTGTGATCAGCAAATTAATGTACTGGACAAATCTTATTGAAAAAATGAAAAATGGATTTGACAGTAGGAAAAGTCTAGATACAAGTCTTCTCTTAAGTTCAAGGATGCATACACCTATAAATAGATGTAATTGTTTGGACGTTAAAACCTTCACCTGTGTTTGAAATATTACGACCAATATATGCTGTTTACAGGGAGAGCTGCAGAAGGTGATTGTTCCCGATTCCCGGACACGTCACCAAACTTTGCCGCTGACATTAGACACGATGTACCTGTTTGGTGTGTCTATCGTCAGGGCTGGAGTAGCCAGTGCTGCCAAGTTTGAGAGCTGTATTTATGTTTCCACGGAAAGTAAGAAGACCATATAACCTCACTACTGTACAGTGCTTTAATTCGCGTTGTCATATTTTCGCGTTTTCATACCAAGAACTTGTTCGTTGGGTCTTACATTCGCATTACATCGATTCCGAAATGGAATAAAATTTGTTCATTAAATGTGTTGTAAAATAAGATGTTGGTATTAAATATGGAAAACAAAACCATGTGTATTTTATTTATGAATTAAATATGAAGGAACAAAATCATGTGTATTTGATATAAACAATAGGAAGTATGAGTGCCTTGGTATATGTACATTCATGATATTGATAGTAACAAATGGCAGACCCATAAACAAAAGTATCGCTGGTGTTTTGAATTTGCGCCTTGAAAGTAAATCACAAATATAGCGAAATAAAATTACTTTACAGTAGTTTCATGAGCTTACAAATCTTTTATTTGAAGGAGTAGGAATATTTATCCTTAACTGTCTCTCAATTTGGTAATTTAATATAAAAAAAAAGATAACTAAATATATTTTTAAGCAGTTCCATAGTTTCGTTTGTTCCTATGGCAACTCAATAACATTCAACTTTACGTAACCATAAGCGTGGATCCTCCTCCACTTGTAAAAATGTGTGTGTGTAAATGTCTGTGTGTGTGTGGGGTAATGTGTCTGTGTGTGGGGGGGGAATGTTTGTGTAAATTCCTGTGTGTGTGGGGGGGGGAATGTTTGTGTAAATGTCTGTGTGTGGGGGGGGTAATGTGTCTCTGTGTGTGTGTGTGTGTAAATGTCTCTGTGTGTGTGTAAATGTCTGTGTGTGTGTGTGTGTAAATGTCTGTGTGTGTGTGTAAATGTCTGTGTGTGTGTGTGTGTGTAAATGTCTGTGTGTATGTGTAAATGTCTGTGTGTAAATCTGTGGGGGGGTAATGTGTGTAAGTGTGTGTGTGTGTGTGTGTGTGTGT